GGTTCCATTGGCGGCATGTCTGGGCCCAGAGATTCTTGGCATCCTGTGCTTCGTCACAGATCTGACCGCCGCCATGTTTCACAGCCGCTGGGGACTGAGGGCCGAAGGTGAATGGGCGTAGCCACGTGGGAGGTAGTGGTCAGACACTGCACCAGGGTGGCCAATATTTCTCTGGTGAGGGAGTGCGTTATCGGTGGTGGTCACCAGTGAGGCCACACCCTAGGCCTATTAATGCGATTCCCTCATCGCGCGCATAATTTTTTAATCTGGTGGGGAATTGCGCGGCACCGGGTTTCGAGTCATGGACCTCTTGCACGCGAGGCTGATACTCGAACCACTGCGCCATCGCTGTGACCATCCTTAGCCCCAGCTTTTGTTTATTGAGGGATTCTCACTCAAGATGGAAATGACGTCATAAGGGAACCATTTCGAGATTTACACTAAACGGGGGCAGCAAATTATACGTGCGCCTGGTGGAATTACCTTCATTTCATTGCATCCTTTGATCATCCTCCTCTATTCCTGGTGTCGTGGTCGTCCATTGTGTGTATTTGTCAGTCGAATGCTGACAACATGGCTGTACTCCCTTTTAGGCTGTAGCACTGGTATAACAGCAGACGCCAAGCATGATCAAAATTACTTGATTTTAGATGAGAAGCAGCTGATGGTAAAGTTCAATCTGGTTTGCATAACCACCCTTACTGCGCACGCGCAACAGCTGGCTCAAGCACAGCCAGAACAAACTCACGCGCAAGCGCGTTCGGGCCTGTGTAAGGGGCTGAGTACAGCGTTGTGGCGTCTCCCCCTTACACTCTCTCAGCCATCACGTGATGGCGTCGGAGAACAAGATTATGAAGACGCGTGATGAACCCACGTGCACCCGCATGGCGTGGTTATGAACCTCTGCGGTGTGCTTCAACAAACTTTCGGGACGAGTAACGGCAACGAAAAATATAGTGAAATCAGAGTGTGCTCCACTTGCAAGGATGCGTTAACATTGGGCAAGGCGATGAACTGAACCTTAAGCCGATCCATGCAATGCTTTGCATGCTATACTCACGGTTCCCTTTAGCCAGCTAAAGAATTTCGCCTTCATGAAGAATTACCAACGGAAATAAGGTGCGCAGTGTCATCATCGTCATGATATTTGGGTGAACTAGATGAAGAAGTTTGAAATGATTATGTTGACAGGGTATACCTCACAGGGGCAACAACTGTGTGTCAGTTTAAGAGGAGCGGGGAATTACGGTTTCTCAAGTGACTATTCTGGTACATCGGCCTTGTTCTAGATTTACATAGACAGATTTGGAAGTATATCCCTCACAAGCAGCCTAACCTAACCTCAAAGCACTGTCACTGAGAATGAGCTCGCACTTTAATTTTAACAAGAAAGTGTTTTTGGCGGGGTATACCATGGCACCACTGACGTGCTTCCGTCATGAATATGACGGTTTAAAATAAATCCTAATAGATTCACAATCCGCAGTGACGTTTCACAATCCGCAGCGCGCGGCGCTAACCACATAGGCCACGGAGCATTGACAACGATGACAACGGCAAGCCATTTATATACACCATGTATCGTTGGCAGTACTCGGAGCTGAGAAACTTCAGCGCGTTTTCGTCGTCAGAGTGAGATGGCGCGAGAAGCGTGCGTAGAGTGCACTCGCTTAAACGGTCGCCATCCGCGCTACCCCGCGTGTTCCTGCACACGCGCGCCTCCACATAGCGTGGTCAAAGTGCATATAAATGCTGTCTGGTGTGCTCGACCACTAGTGCGTGCACTTATCTCGAAATTAGGGCGCTTTGTACACTTGTTCTTCCATCGCAAGTTTGCTTTGAAATTAAAGTGGTTAAAGAAGGGTCGAAGTTCACTGCGCTCGCTGCCGCGGCCGCGTTTCCGAAAGAAGCACGTTGCTCACACAGAAAAGTAAGAATTACGAAAATTGTTTACGCTCGTCTTGTGTATACTTCGGCATTCATTTCAGGCGTCTTTTTGTTTTCTGTTTGAGCAGCGTGCTTCAAGTGTAGAGCTGTGACAGTTGGTTGTCCGCGCTCGTCCTGTGTACGTTCATTTCGTGCGTGCTTTCTTCTTGAGGTGCGCGCGGCAAGTTCCTAGCTGCTTGTCGTTGTTCGCATCACATTGCAATTCGTTTCTGTACCATTCATTCCTTCGCCATTGTGTCGTAACAATGCACAATAAATGCTCAACTACCTCTGTAAAGACAAGTTTCACTTTCGTGTTATACCAATTCCTCAATAGAGGGATCAACCACGTTTCTTTTCATTTTGAACTGCTCGTTTGAGTGTGACATTCGTCTTCCACTATCATTTTTATTTTTATATAATGAGTGTTTTTTTTTTCTGGCGAGTGAATCAAAATTGTGTTTGTTTAGTTTCTAAACAAGCCTGGTATTCAATAACGATTGATGAAGTACTTTTTTTCAGAACTGACGCAAGCGCCAAATTTACAGCACGGAGGAAAATAAGCATATTGGAAAACATCCCAACGAATTGTTTTCATAAAGGTGCTCACTGTTCGCAAACTTCTTTCGTTTTTGGAAGGGGGGAGGGGAGATCAAAGAATAGAAATGGTCATTTTAGGGTCCTTGCGTGCAAAGATGTCATTGTTATTGATGGCTTAGAACAAATGGCTGTTCTGGCAGCGCACATGTGATGCATGATCACACGTGGATATGGATTGACGACTCGAAGACAACACCTAAAATGACTGAAATTTCATCCGCATAACATACTTGATGTAGTGCTATCAGCGTCACATAAAACCCAAACAGCAGCAAACAATAGGAGTTGTGTAGTGCTGTGTAGTGAGAGTCCTTCAGTAACCATTGTCGGCAGTCGCGTACATCCGGTGTGGCAGCACTGCGTATATGCGTGCCTGTCCATGGTGATCACTGGGATGCGCCCAATATACCATTGTGAATGCTTGAAACTCTTCAAGTTTTATTTGACACTGGTAGCAGAACGACAGACAGCAGTAAAGAGAGCGCAGAAACAAGTGAAGCTCATAGAGCATACTTGCTAATGGGTCTGCATTATGGTTGGGGCGGCGGATAGAGATGCATTCGGGGCGATGCTGTAGTCATTACCTTAGTAACATTGTTTTCGACTGAGGCGATTCGTAAGTGTAGTGCAAGACAGATTGTTCGCCTGAAGGATGTATGAAGGCATGAATGCCACTTGAGGCGAGACAGGAGAGTTTCACAAGTACGTCGGCATGAGGCATTTAATAGAGCTGCCCCATTAGAGCTTTTAATAAGCATTTAATAGAGCCGCCTGCAACTGCCTAGTGTACTTGATAAGAAAGCTTATGCAGCTATTTCGATCTCTTTCGCATTACTCTGCTAATTATCTCCTGAACCCATTTCCATTCACAAACTAACCATCCGGAACTACCTCGGCTTAAAATCCCCTAATTTCTTTGAATACATTCTATCTACGTGTTTCAAAGATTGCGTTACTTCTTTGAATACCATGCAAATTAAAATCACAATGACTAGTTTCATATTCTTGTTTTTCGTTCACTGACGACTAACGACCCTTGCACTTTTCATAGCGAGAAACTAATGGACCGTGAAATAACGCATCAGCGCAGCAACCTACTATGACGGCTTTGAAAAAGCTCCTAAAAATGTCGTTTAGCGAAAAATCTGTCTGCGTCAACATTGGTGGTTTATTGTACGGGCTAATTGCTCAAAAATAGTTTCGTGAACTGAAACGAACAGTTTTAGTAGGCTTCGTTCCCCCAGAGAACGTGCACATTGCCGGCTTAGCTCAAGGGTAAGAACACCACGCAGTAATGCAAAAACCCAATGTTTTTTCTTTATGATTGCTTAATTTTAATTAAGTAAAAAGTCACAGCTTTGCCGCCAAGGCGAAGCAATAAACGCGGTAGCAACGAATTAGAAGGTCACGCGAAGAATGGCAAGCAGATCGACACGTGTCCCGCATTTCTCACGCACAAATTATGTACGAAATATACTCACAGGTACAAAAGAACGCAAGTAAGCATCTCAGTTCTTACTTCGGTGTGTCTGAAAAGCGCGCCCTTTTCGCAAATGAAGACTGTGCAGCGAGTGCAGTGACCTTTGTGCGCCCGGCAATTACAACAGAATGGTTCCAGTGAAAGCCAAACGCGTATGATTCTCCCCACCACGAGGTAAGTGCACGCACGCGTGATCGTCCCCCCCCCCCCGCCCTTCTCCGCGAGGCAAAATACGCGTGGGAGATGAGAGCTCGCGCCGTCGGGTCGTGACGATCTCGCGACACGTGCTCATTGCGGTATCTCGCGAGCAATGATGAAAACATAATTCTCCCGAGATGCCCATCGCCAGCGGTAAGTTGTAGATATAAATAGCTTGCCGTTTCAACATTGCAGGAGATGCTTCTTCGTCGTTCAGTGGCTAACGCCTCGCATTCACGAGCAAGAGCCGGGGCCTTTTTCTGGATTATTTCTTTTTTTTGCGTTTTCATATATATATATATATATATATATATATATATATATATATATATATATATATATATATATATATATATATATATATATATATATATTTGTGTGTGTGTGTGTGTGGTGACTGACGCCAATGGCAAGATCCAGCTGAGAGTGAACATATAATTGATATCGCTATAAAAGTAAGTTCTCTTACTCTTTTCTTGGGTATATTCAACGAAACACGTTGTGGGGCTGATTGGTAACACATATATTTTTTGTTTATAAAAGTAAATATGTGTGAATTTTTCTAACACATATACATAAAGACACGACAGGATGGGTGCTGTACACCGAATATGTCAAAACCTACACGCAAGTTACACTGCCAGCTTTTTGTCAAGTGCAACATCTTCGTAGTGCGAAATAAACTTTGCTTGAGTACAACGCCCATCCTATTATGTCTTTGAGAGTCGTCGTTTGAAAAAAAAAACAGTGCTTTAGTTTACTGTAAGTAAAAAATGGGATTTTTATATATATTTACTGAATTGGTGGCTGCCTCCAGTGGATGGTGGTAGATGGACATCCCATGAGTGGCCTCAAGGTGGCAGGCCAGCTCCCACCAACTTCCGCAGCGCGCCAGGCACTGAGCGCAGACGGGCAACGGAATGCCTGAAAAAAAAAGTATATATATATATATATATATATATATATATATATATATATATATATATATATATATATATATATATATATATATATATATATATATTAACAGGTCGACCATTAAGCAAAACTAGCGGTGCCTTTAGCGCTTGCACTGAGCGAGTTTTGCCCCCACGTAGCGCGACCTCATTTTCTACGTCTCTAAAGCACTTTCCGAAAAACCTACGCGAGAAGTTAGGGGTACGTTTAAAAGGATTTTTCGCTGCACCGTCTGCATATTCTGAAGCTCGTCTTACATTTGTGCTGTCATAAGCTCTTCAATGAACCTCACCATCGACTCACGAGCTCGAAGTGAGCTGTGCCACATTTTGTTCGAAACTTTTCTACGTGAGCGCTGAAACGTGCTTCGAATAGGCATTGCTTATTACGCAGTGGATCTAAGGAACCTTTTAAGTTCCGCAAGATTTCAAGTTTACACCGTAGGCCCCTACGTTGATACTTGCTACCATGACGATAGTTACATTGCTGCTACGCAGAGTGGCTGTGCTTCTACGATCCCACAATCATAACCACCCAAATAGAACGACGTGAGTGCATCAAGGCATCATTAGTTGCTGGCTCATATGAGCTATTTCGTAAAAATAGCTGCAAATAACACAGTCTCATACAATAGTTATTTTATTAGTGACTCGCAGGTCACCCACACGTCACTAGAGAGCACAGAGCCAAACTTTTAAACGTAAAGACTCAAGGCGACAACATCTCAAGAAATATACATGAAACGTGAACATAAAATCACGTTACAGCGTGTCAGTGGATACGGGGTCGTCGCAATGTTCCTCGGAATTCGGCAGTGGAGGACATGAGGGCAAAAATGAGAGCACGGAAATGATTTACGCAAACTCCTCCAGCTGCATAAAACATATGCAGTCGGATTCACACTAGCGTCAAGTTTGGTAATTCAAGTGTTCCAAAGCAGCTTTTATACTATATATGATTTCTAACACTAAACTGTACGTACCACCGATATTAAGCGAAAGTAAAGACTTTGTAACTTTACTTCACCATATGTGGCTTATCACAGCATATGCGAGTCACTTTTTTAAAAGAATTCAACGTGTTGGCAGTCCTCTACGGCCTCGTGCTTACACCGATGAAAATAAAATACATTTGATTACAAAACAAATCTTTGTACATACTTAACAAATAGGATACAGAAAATGGCACATATTGCCTTAAAAATACTTATAGAAACTTCAAAAATATTAAACACTAAACAATCGTGGCTGCGTAGCTATTATACTTTCGTTAACCGCATCATAGATTGTATATGTGCGTATCACTCCCATAATTGTAGAATTTTGTTTCGTAAATGCGGGCAGATACGTAAGCGGCTTAACCACCAGAACTAGCCTTGCCTTATGGGCACCTTCAGCCTCAGCACTTTAATTTACATTAGGGCGGAAATTAGTGTATGTATGTGCTACTTTATTGTTTTATGTGATCTCACTCTTTTATGCGCTTTCAGTTTGCGTTTTTTTTTTATGCGACGAGGAGTAGCCGACGCCTTAACAGAAGACTTGACCTCTTCTATAGAAGAAACCGTTTGAACAGTTGGCCAAGGCACTAACGGAGTAATAACATTCTATTGACTGTGATGCTGCAGAAAACAGAAAGCGAGTCTTCTTGCTAGTAACGATAACAGAAGGTGCGGTTTCACTTGAGCAGCAAAGGGCTTCGTTTTCTAGATAAACATGACCGCGTGTAAGGTGATGGTTTGACTTCGAGTTAGTTGCTGTATACTGTCACTCATGCTCTGACATAGCTATGCGGGCACACTTGTTTAGAAAACAAGTCAGTTGTTAGTACAGCAGCCTCCCTGTTCCTTTATCTACTTCCTGCGTCAACTTCTTCCTGGCTTACTCATAGCTGCTGAATTTTCGTACCAAGCATTAGTGGCCCTTAACAAGTCACCCTTCTGAACTAGCTCAAAGTTCTCGCGCACAGCAGGAATGTATGTTATGCAAAGCATTTATGCTGTTACTTTGGTATCTACCTTCGTCTGGAGTTCAAAAAATGTTGCCCTATTGACAAACGCGTTTACCTAAGAGAGTGTTGTTCGTGTTTTTTAAATTTAATTTCCTATTTTCTTGAAGAGGGCCAGAGCAAGGTAAAACAGGAACCTACCTACCTACTACTTACTGTCTCACCACAGAGTACCTGGCCTAAGGCAAGAATTGCTTCATACGAAGAAAAAACAAATGTACCCAAGAAAGCATGGTTCAGCGGTTCGGGAGTTTAAGTCGCCTGTTGCGACACAAATCAAAGTTGTCTGTGTATCTTTAATTTGTTTTCAGAATTGCTGCTGCACTTCACGTCAAAGATTTGTTCAATCTGCTCGATGACCCGCGCTTCTTCCAGTGTGTTTCAGGCCTCTAGCGTCCCTTGTACTCTCCTCCCCCTCCTCTTCCTCCTGCTCCTCTCAATTTTTTAACATTTTCTGAAACCCTGTTCTGGTCTTACACGCACCGCCCGCTTGCACCTTTCTGTTGGATAACTAATCATTTGACTTCCATCGTCAAACTCAAATGCCCTGACAGCTACTCGTAATGATTATTTAGTAGATAATTTTCATTTCAATGACGCAACTCAAACATTGCGCACTTGTGCCAGCGGCATCGTGTGGTTGCGACTCATTACGTCTCTCAGGGGAAACGTCGGAACAGCATGAGGTTAGCGAATGCAACTACTCTTGGGAGCTGACCGTGCTACTCGCCCACGTGCACTCGCTATCATTGCGGCGATGCTAGTGTGTTTCCCGACCACTTATTTTCCCCCATAGGAAATTGAATTGCACGCACGCGCTCTTGTTGCACCGGTGTGATCGAGTAAGACAGGAAATGACGTGAAAGCCCTGCTGAGAGTAGTTGACACACGGATAGCCGCAGCCGTCTGTTGTTCTGTTATCACACTCTTATCCTCTGCATGCTTACTAATATAATGTTATAGTGTTAAAACGCCCAATACTATTCACACTGCATCGTCACCGTGGACGTTTTTAACAGTATATAGTCTCAGTTTTGTTGTGATACAAAGAGTCGAGTCGTGCGGCGATGGCTGGTGTAAAAATGTAGCTCCAATTTCAGCGTCATTAAGTTGATTGATTGATATGCGGGGTTTAACGTCCCAAAACCACTATATGATTATGAGAGACGCCCGTCATTAAGTTGTGTCGAGTTACCTTTCATATCGCTTTTTTAAAAACTTCATTCCTAATTACATTTTGTGTGCTTTCCCTTGTTAAATTTCCACCCCACCACGGTGGTCTAGTGAGTAAGGTGCTCGGCTGCTGACCTGCAGGCCGCGGAATTGAATCCCGGCTGCGGCGGCAGCATTTTCGATGGAGGCGAAGATGCTGTAGGCGCGTGTGCTCAGATTTGGATACCCGTTAAAGAACCCCAGGTGGTCGAAATTTCCAGAGCCCTCCACTACGGTGTCTCTCAAAATCATATGGTGGTTTTGGGACGTTAAACCTCACATATGAATCATTGTTGAATATCTGTTTGCATGTTCTTTCTCCGTTATAATTAACTGCGCAATACTGCCATGTGTAGAACGAAGCTCTCATTTGCAACTCACCACGTGGATGCACAAGATTTTATGCACTATTTTTCGAGCACGGCCTAAAATAATTCGGAGTCTAAAAAGACGAAAGTTTTAGCCTTCACGATATCCTACGTTATTAAGCGTCTTTTACTGAGGCGTCAAATCTGAAGTCCATTTTCGGAATTCGCTTCAATTATGACTACACGTGGTCTGCTAACGGAACCGTTAATATATATGCGCAGACATATTTGCATTATAAAGACCCTGTCTGTCGGTTAAGCACGTGTACACATATGTAATTTATTCTTGCGACGCTTGTCTCATTTATGACTTTGCGGTTTCTTAATTGGAGCCATGGTATATGTGAGTTGCTCGAGAAAATGAACTCGCGGGCTTAAAACTTCGACTCAGTGGAGCGAGGAATTGATCCGCTCGTAGCTATGCGCACTCACAAACACACAAAAAAAAAATTAAGCGAAGACCTCAATATTTAGGATTATCTTTTTCACCAAGAAGGAAACTAATTACCTATAGTGAGAAAACTCCGATAGTGAGTTTGAGCTCGTTCTCATAAAGAGAACAATTATTCGCGTGTACACTCCCAGTAGAAAAGAAAAAAAAGCAAACGAAACAAACGAGCAAGTAAGCAAGCACACACACGCGCACACACACACACACACACACACACGCACACACACACACACACACACACACACACACACATACATACATATATACATATATATATATATATATATATATATATATATATATATATATATATATATATATATATATATATATATATATATATATATATATATATAAGGTAAAGAAGTGTATACCTAAGGGCTCGTTTTTCCGTGTTTTGACACAATATTAATGAGATCTAACAGACAGTAATGCCAAGGAATGTACAGGGGAAGTTATTAGAACCAATGGAATGTAATTAGGAAGAAAGAAAAGTGGATGAAAAAATAACCAGCCGTGAGCAGGAATCGAACCTACGACCTTCGAATAACGCGTTCGATGCTCGTTCGATCGCTTTCGCGTTCGCGTTCGACCGCGAACGCGTTCGACCGCTTGGCTTATAGATGGCGCTGACTGTCACTCCTACTTCTAAATTCACATATAAACCCAAAAAAGTGATGGAGGGAAGGCCGCTGTGGTAGCTCAGTGGTTAGAGCATCGAACGCGTTATTCGAAGGTCGTTGATTCCTGCTCACGGCTGGTTATTTTTTCATCTACTTTTCTTTCTTCTTATTTACATTCCATTGGTTCTAATAACTTCCCCTGTACATTTCTAGGCATTACTGTCTGTTAGATCTCATTAAATATATATATTGTCACGCGCACCGAAAGCCGTAGAGACCAGACAAAAACACCGGGGCAGAAAGATA